ATTGAACCAGATGGACTCTGAGGTCCCCTTTAGACACAGATTTCTGATCCTCTTACTGTTTCCCATTTGTCCAGCCTTGGCATCCACTCTGCCCTTTACACTCTATCCAGAACCAGCCAAGCTGCTCCCCAAGCTTTCCCACCTCAGGAACTTTGGCCATTTTGTTATTCCCTCTGCCCTGGATGCCATTCCTCCCCTTCTTGTCCCTCCCCACCTCCGTTTCTACTAGTCACACTCCTCCATGTCCTTCCAGCCCTCTTCCACAAAGTCATTGTGAGCTTTCTCTCCTCTGTACTTCTCTCATGCCAATTAATCTGCACTGATCATTCCCTTCTCTTATTCCCCCACTAGAAGGCAAGATCCTTGAGGGGAGGGACTGTATCCTCTCCATCTTTATGGCTCTTTCTGTGCCTAGCACAATGCCAGGTATTCAATAGGTGCTTAATAAATTTGTTGCAGGAATAACTGAGTCAAGGAGGAGGACTGAGATCCATGAAACAGTAATATCCCATCCCTGAACACCACATAATGCCATGTGAAAGGGATGATTCAGACAGTGCTGAATGACTGGGAGGATGGATGGCATCACACAATGGCGAAATAGACAAAGTCAGGGCTGGGAGGGGCCTCGGAACACGGTATGTCAAGGCTGGGGGGAGCCTTAGAACAGGGAATGTCAAGGCTGAGAGGAGCCTTAGAACATGGAATGTCAAGGCTGACGGGGAGCTTGGAACAGGGAACATTCAAGGCTGGGAGGGGCCTTAGAACATGGAATGTCAAGGCTGACAGGGAGCTTGGAACAGGGAATGTCACAGCTGAGAGGAGCCTTAGAACATGGAATGTCAAGGCTGATGGGGAGCTTGGAACAGGGGATGTCAAGGAGCCTTAGAACATGGAATATCAAGGCTGACAGGGAGCTTAGAACAGGGAATATTCAAGGCTGGGAGGGGCCTTAGAACAGTGAATGGCAAGGCTAGAAGGGAGCTTAGAACAGGAAATGTCACAGCTGGGAGGAGCCTTAGAACATGGAATGTCAAGGCTGACGGGGAGCTTGGAACAGGGGATGTCAAGGCTAAGAGGGAGCTTAGAACAGGGAATGGCGAGGCTAGAAGGGAGCTTAGAACAGGAAATGTCACAGCTGGGAGGAGCTTTAGAACATGGAATGTCAAGGCTGACAGGGAGCTTGGAACAGGGGATGTCAAGGCTAAGAGGGAGCTTAGAACAGTGAATGGCAAGGCTAGAAGGGAGCTTAGAACAGGGAATGTCACAGCTGAGAGGAGCCTTAGAACATGGAATATCAAGGCTGACAGGGAGCTTGGAACAGGGGATGTCAAGGCTGGGGGGAGCCTTAGAACAGGGAATATCGAGGCTGACAGGGAGCTTGGAACAGGGGATGTCAAGGCTAAGAGGGAGCTTAGAACAGGGAACATTCAAGGCTGGGAGGGGCCTTAGAACAGTGAATGGCAAGGCTAGAAGGGAGCTTAGAACAGGGAATGTCACAGCTAGGAGGAGCCTTAGAACATGGAATGTCAAGGCTGACAGGGAGCTTGGAACAGGGGATGTCAAGGCTAAGAGGGAGCTTAGAACAGGGAATGGCAAGGCTAGAAGGGAGCTTAGAACAGGAAATGTCACAGCTGGGAGGAGCCTTAGAACATGGAATGTCAAGGCTGACAGGGAGCTTGGAACAGGGAACATTCAAGGCTGGGAGGGGCCTTAGAACAGGGAACATTCAAGGCTGGGAGGGGCCTTAGAACAGGAAAGGTCACAGCTGGGAGGAGCCTTAGAACATGGAATATCAAGGCTGACGGGGAGCTTGGAACAGGGGATGTCAAGGCTAAGAGGGAGCTTAGAACAGGGAATGTCACAGCTGAGAGGAGCCTTAGAACATGGAATATCAAGGCTGACGGGGAGCTTGGAACAGGGAACTTCCATTCAAGGCTGGGAGGGGCCTTAGAACAGTGAATGGCAAGGCTAGAAGGGAGCTTAGAACAGGAAATGTCACAGCTGAGAGGAGCCTTAGAACATGGAATGTCAAGGCTGACGGGGAGCTTGGAACAGGGGATGTCAAGGCTAAGAGGGAGCTTAGAACAGGGAATGGCAAGGCTAGAAGGGAACTTAGAACAGGGAATGTCACAGCTGGGAGGAGCCTTAGAACATGGAATGTCAAGGCTGACAGGGAGCTTGGAACAGGGGATGTCAAGGCTAAGAGGGAGCTTAGAACAGGGAATATTCAAGGTGGGAGGGGCCTTAGAACAGTGAATGGCAAGGCTAGAAGGGAGCTTAGAACAGGAAATGTCACAGTTGGGAGGAGCCTTAGAACATGGAATGTCAAGCTTAGAATAGAAAATCAATGTCAGGACTGAAAGAGACTTTGGATACTATTTGGTCCAACCTGCTTACTTGGCAGAGGATGATGCTAAGGCCCATAGAGGTTAGTACACTCATCAAACGTGGAAAATCACAGTTAGAATCCAGGTCTCTGCAATGGATGAATGTTGAATGGTTGGCCACCATCTAACTCCCAGGAGGGAGGGGGTGTAGACTTGGCATTCCTGGTGATGTTAAGGTGCAGGGGCCCCCCTCTAAGGGGCCAGAAGAGGAAAACCCCTTGCTTTAAAGACTCCCCAGGAATGGGACATTTCCCCCCATATTCCCCATAGTCAGGTTCTGAGAGTTAAGTGATTTACTCAGGGTCACACAGCCAGCTTCTGTCTGAAAACTAGATCCCTGATAGTCTGACTCTCCGAGGCAGCTAGGTGTCACAGTAAATACAGCATTGTCCCATGCAGGAAAGACCCAAGTTCAAATCCAGCCTCAGTTACTATCTTTGTGAATCTAGGTAAGTTGCTTAATTTGCCTCAGTTTCCTCAACTGTAAAATGGAGATAATAACAGCACGTCCCTCTTACATGGTTGTGAAGATCAAATGAAATAATATACAAAGCATTTTGCAAACCTTAAAGTGTTGTATAAATGTCATCTATTGCTGTCCACTGCTCCTTACTGGGCACCCAGTAGGCACTTAATAAATGCTTAATTGATTTAAATGGGGCTGATGAACCTCTGCCTGTCTCCCTGACAAGGTTCAGTGTAAGGCTGAAAGGATTGTGGCAGAGTAAAGAGAATGATGGACTGTAGTCAAGAAGACCTTAGTTGTAATTCCACCTAGACACCTGCTAGCTATGTGACCCTGGGCAAGTCCTTAACCTCTCTCAGCCTCAGTTTCCTCATCTGTAAAACGGGGATAATAGCTACCCTCTCCAGTTGTGTGGAGGACTAAACAAGGTAACATATAACTGAATTGTTTTGCCATTTAAAGCCTTACATAAATACTCACTTTATTGTTAAAATGATTTTGCAAAAATCGCTATCGAAATATAGGAATCAATATCGTTCAACGTAAGGTTCATTAAACTCCTGCTCCGAGTCTGTGCTCAGAAGTGAGGATAAAAAGCTGAAAAATGAGATAGTCCCTGCTCTCGAGGAGTTTATAGTCTACTGGGGGTGATAGGATACAAACACACAAATGTTAATATGTATGTTAATTAACATGTAATTGTAATATGTACGCTACAAGGTAGATTTTGGTGGGGCAAAGGAGAAATTGGGCAATGTGCTTTGAGAAATCCCAGGAGGGATCAAGGAAAGTACAGTCATCTTTTTAGTAACCCAACCTATGCAACCTTGGACCTCTTTTTCACTGTTGCACTGGGAATGATAGAACAAAATGACGAACAAGATGTTGCCCAAGACAATAAAGAGAGAGTGAGAAAGCACCCAGATGCCCTTGGTGATTCAAATCCATTCCCAGATGAACTCCACCCTCGGGTCCTGAAAGAGCTGAGCTTCAGCTAGTGATCTTGGAATGATTACAAAAAATGGAAAAGGCCAACAAGATCAGGGGAAAGCAAATGCCCCATTTTTTAAAATGGAAAGAACAGTCTGAACACTGTAGGTTAGCCAAATCTTCTTGATTCAGCCTCTCCGTATCTGTCTCATCTCTGCTCACACAGCTGGGTCAAATGCTCATCACCACCCCCTTCACTATTGCAATGACCTTCTAATGGTGTTCTTACACTCCAACCTCTCTGTCCTCCCCTCATCCTTTGCACAGCTGCTGCATTGATAATCCTAAAGCACAGCTCTGACCACGTCACTCCCCCACTTGAGAAGCTTCAGGGGCCCCCTCTGGCCTCCATGACAACACAGGAGTACCAGAGGGTGGCATTTAGAGGCCTTTGAAATCTCACTGCAACCTGCTTTTCCAGGCTGGTGGCATATTTCTCTGCTCCAAGTGTTCTATGAAGTTCCAGACAAATTAGACCATGCTCTGTCTGCCTTTACAAAAATAGCAGAAGCTCCTGCTTTTGAAACTCTGTGACTCTGCCCAGGCTGTGTGCCATGCCTGGAACATTTTCTCTCTTCACCTTTGCCTCTTGGAAGCAATTGATCCTGTTAAAGCTCAACTTAGGCACCACCTTTCTCACAGAGCCTTTCCTGATTTCCTCAGTCGTTAGGGTTGTCTCCCAACCAAACTTTTCATATGTATTATTTATATATTTTGGACTGTCTGTAGACATGTTGTGTCCCCCGCCTCCCCATCCCCAATAGAGGTCAAGGACTGTTTCTTTTGGTCTCAACACATCGTATGATACCTGGCACACATGAGGCTTATTCAATTAAACAAATTGGTAAAACAAAATTGATTGATTGATTGATTGACCAAATTGACTAAATAAAGACTCCACAGAGTTGAGTCCTGAACTGGGCCTTTCTTCTAGTTACTGATACAGTTTTTAGGTTCACATCCCACTCCCCTGACCCTCCAGATCCCCTTCCTCTAGTGACCTACTTTGTGATAATGCCCAGACCTGTCCCTCTACTGATTCAGACCAGGAATATTAGGCGACTATAGAAATAGGCAAGGTTGTTGAGTAGGGGGTGAGGATAGAGGGCCTAAGAGCTGAAGAAGAGGAGGACCCCCCCCAAGCACCCTCCTACCTTCGGTTTTGTATGACCCATTGCCCCTGGGTGCAGGGCACATCATACTTCTGCCTCCTCAGAGCATACGCTTCAAACCAGAGGGCCACTCCATAGTCAAGAGATGGGACCTGCAGGGGAGGGGGCACTGGGAGTGAACAGCCAGACCAAGCCAGAGGAGGAACCCAGGAGGACTCAGGTAGGTGAGCTGACCTCAGGGGCGTGAGGGAAGAGCCAGGACTTGAACCCAAGTCTTTGGAGTCCAAATCCAGCCCTCTTTTTACTGTGCCAGGAAGCTGATGGGGAAGGGTTGGGATAGGATGATAGGTCCCAAGTCCTGGGTCCTTGGGAGCTTACCATGAGATGCCAGGTACAGTGGGTGCTAGGGGAGTAGTAGCTGGGATAGTAGGGGGTGCTGATGTTTCCCTGTAGCTCCAGTTTGCCCTCCAGGGTCAGGTTCACCTGACATTCTGAGAAGGGAGAAAAAGAACTCAGTTAAGTCAAATCATGCCCATTTTAGAGATGAGGAAACTGAGGCTGAAAAAAGGGTAAGTGATTTGCCTAATATATAGAACTATAAATCAGCTTAGAGAATTTTAGGATCATCTTTAAAGAGGTAAGGACCATTTTACAGATGAAGAAACAGACCCAGAGACATGAAGCACTTTGCCCAAAGTCACACAGCTGGTAATTTGTACAGTCATAATTTGCTTCTAGGTCCTCTGACTCTGAATCCAACCTCCTATCCACTATGGAAATAATTTTCCTGTATCTTCCTATATTCCAGAACTTTCTATCCAATTCCTTTTCCTTAAGTCACAATAAACCCTAGCTCTCCTTGGACCCTGGAAGGGCCCAAGGGGAAGAAGGTGGAGTTGGGGAGATGCTTGGCCCACCCATGAAAGGAGAGGCTGAGATTTCATGGGAATCTTAGAGATAATTTAGAACAGGTGTGTTTAATCATTTTTTTATGTCATGTATTCTGTTAAATTATGGGATTTCAAACTTTTATTAATGAATTTATTTTTTAATGTTCATTTTAAAAACTCTTGAGTTCCAAATTCTCTTCCTCCAGCCCCTCCCACACTCATTGAGAAGAAAGTGATAGGAGAATCATTTTTAAATGCATGCCATGCCAAAGATTATGGAAAAACCCAATTGTATTGAAATAGTTATCAAAATATATATATTTTTTAAAAGTTCATGGAATCTAGTTTTAGAACCCCTGATTTAGCAAAACTTCCTTATTTTACAGAACAGCAAACCTAAGGCTTGGGAGGGAAAGTAGTTTGCCCAAGGCCATGTCATGCAGGCTGCTTTGGACTCAGCCAGGGTCCCTACACAGGCAAGGCAGGGCATGACAGGTGTAAGGAGTTCAGGGCTTGGAAATCTCCTGACCCATCACGGGATGGATGTGGGAGATGTCATCCGGCTTCGTCCTCTTGCTCCATCTTACTCTCATAACAGGGCATGGAGGGCAGCTAGGTGGCTCAATGGATACAGCACTGGCCCTGAAGTCAGGAGGACCTGAGTTCAAATCCAGCCTCAGACCAAACACTTGACACTTACTAGCTGTGTGACCCTGGGCAAGTCACTTAACCCCAGTTGTCTAAAAAACAAGCAAACAAAACAAAATAACAGGGAATGGGAAGGGCTGTCCTGCCTCCTTCTGGCTGACCATATATTCTAGCTCAGTTCTCTCAGCCCCTCCAGTGATGCTCATTCTTAAACTTCCCTTAAGCCAAACTGACCTATTTCTGCTTCCCAACTCAACCTTGCATGCCCTACCTCTGGGTTGTCCCAGACCATCTCCTGTCCCTGAAATAGCCTCCTTCCTTATGTCTGTGTCTTGGAATCCTTGATTCCTTCAGGGGCAGCTCTTGTGGGAAGGAGTTCTTGCTCTCCCTAATTGTTAGGCCCAACACACATTGCGTTGTATTTTTTCATCTGTTTACCTGTTGCCTGGGCAGGCGTTCACACCAAGCCACCTGGAGGGTGGATTCTCCTAGTTAGCTCTGCACCCTCCCTTCCTTTATCACCTGGCTAGGTGACTGTCATTCTTCTGGGAAACTGGGCCTTGTGCCGCTGAAGGAAGGATGAGGGCAGTAGCCTCACGAACCACTTGTGATGATGACGCCTCAGTTCGGAGGTCCTTAACTGTGTAGTAGTGTTTGTATTTTTAAAATCTTGCTCTAAATTGTATGTCAAACAATTCAAGCCAGTGTTGGGCTTCAGAAAACCGTGGCATGGAATCTCTTCTGGGGCAGGTGCTGACCCAGCACTCCTGAAAGGGCCTTGCATAAAGTGGGCACTTGCAGGATTCTTGTGTAATTGAATTGAAAGAGTTAGAGCTAAGGGGCCGTACGTGGCATAGTGGGACTTGAAACCAAGACCTGGATTCTAATCTCAACCTAGAGAGTAGCTCACTGTGTGACCTTGGGCAAGTCAGGGCCCCTCTGTGGGGCTTCCTTTCCACATCTATAAAATGGATTACATGGTGTCTCAGGTCCTTCTTAGTTTTAATATTAATGATTCTAAGAGGGGAAAAGAGAGAGATGGGGAGGGGAGGGGAGGAAGGGAAAGAGACAGAGAGAGATAGAGAGAGACAGAGACACAAAGAGAGATAGAGGGAGACAGAGAGAAGTGGAGGGAGGGGAGAGAGAGAGAAAGAGATAAAGACAGAGAGAGACAGAGACACAGAGAGACAAAGACAGAGAGCATAGAAAGAACAGTTTTCATTGAGAAAGTTCATTGGGATTTCAAACTGCTTTATCGACATTATCTTATTTCATCTTCACCACGACACTGTGAAAGGAGTGGGGCCCCAAATGAATAAATCCCATTTGACAGATGAAGAAACTGAGAATCAGAGAAAAGAGATTTTTGTAGGGTCGTGCAGCACAGCACAGCAGAGGCAGATTCAAAGCCTCAAGCCAGGGCATTTCCCCACTAGCACACCACCTCCTCTAGGGATGGAAATGACAAAATAACAATAATTCCCATCGATAGATCACTTTTAAGTTTTACAAAGCACTCCCTGCCCTCTTCCCTATGGAACAAACAGGTAAATCCTCAGCCACCACTTAAGCCCAGAGGGCCTGTGTCCACATGCTGGCTTATGTCATGGCCTCTGTGCCAGGGAGAGAGTAGGAAGGAGGGACAAGAGAAGGGAGAACAGGAGATGGATGGAGAAGAGAGCAGATGTCAAAGGTCCCTCAGTGGTTCTCTAGCTATTAACTGACCACCTTTGGTGCATCCTAAAACTGGATGCATCCTAAAACTGGACTGACCTGCTTATAGTCAGGGAGAGGGTAGAGTAAAAAGAGGTCTAGAGCCACACAGCACAGAGGGAGGCCAGACTGTTACCTTGGATAATCTGTGGCCAAGTGGCAATAGTCCCTCCCTGTTCTGAGAGGATTCCCCCTCCCCCAGCCATGTCCAGTGTCCCCTCCTCACCCTGGAAGGCCACCGCCTGGACAGAGAGTGTGAAGGGGTCATAGTAGCTGTACAAGCCTTTCTTCCAGACCACAGACATGACATGGCCTGAGGACAGGACCTCCACCACTGGCTCCTGGCGGCTGCAGCCATAGAGTCTGAGAGATGGAGATGAGTAGAGTAGGGTTACCCCCGGGGAGAAGTTAGAAGGGTTCAGTGCAAAGAGAGAGCCTCGGTGGAAATATGGCACCTGATACAGAAACCTCAGGGACTGTTGGCAAGTTACCTCTTCCCTGGGCCTCTGTGTCTTCATCTGAAAATGAAGGAGTTAAGCCAAATGGCCTCTAACTCCCTCCCAGCTCCAAAATTCCATGTTCCTATGACCTACCAGATAGCTCAACCCCTCTCTGCTGGGAGCTGACAGCCAAAGCTGGTAGAAAACCAAGGACCCACCCACTGGGGCTCCCCACTCCAGTCTTGTTCTGGGCTGCAGCAGGAAGAGATAATCCACTGGGGTTCCCTGGGAAGGTCCTCCTCCCCCCTGTCTTGTGGCTTTTAGATTTCCCACCTAAGTGTTAGAGTACCCCTAACTTACCCCTTCTGTCTCCCTCCCCCACTCAAATCCCACAGCAAATTAATTCATAACAAGGTTTAAATAACTAATAACCGCCGGATGAGTTACCTGTCCTAGAAATAGGTGTAACTGGCTATACTTTAATCCAAAAAAGAGAACCTTAATGGTGGAAATTCTGGCACTGTGACCATGGTGTGGACAGGGCATTGTTGGCACCCTTCAAAGCATAGCTAATGGACATCTAATTCAGATCGATAGGATTGTAAGCTTTAGAGCTGGAAGGGACCTTGGAGGTCATTGGTCCAATCCCTCCATTTCACAGATGAAGAAACTGAGGCACAGAGGAAGGTCGGTCATACAGGTAATAAACAGAGGAAGGGTTCACATCCAGGTTAATTTCTCCAGTACGATTTCTAGAACCGCATGCTGCAAATCCTGACCATTTATCCACCTCCTAATAGTGCTCATTTTACCAAAGAGACTAGGGATGGCATTGCAGTAGAATGCAGAACATTGTAGCATAAAGTCTTTTGGATAAACGTTTACCAAGAAGTGTATCCGTAGAATGTTAGAATACCTTGTGCCTGGCCTAGTGCATGAGCCTGGGCTGCTTTTTCTCTGCCTCAAGTCTCTCCTTGCCCTGCATATTCCTCACTCAGCTTTCAAACTGCTCTTCCTAGGGGGCAGCCTGGTGGAGCAGTGGATAGAGCACTGACCCTGAAGTCAGGAGGACCTGAGTTCTTAATCCAGCCTCAGACCAAACACTTGACACTTACTAGCTGTGTGACCCTGGGCAAGTCACTTAACCCCAATTGCCTAACAAACAAAAAAACAAAACTGTTCTTCCTAAAGCGTACTCCCCTACTCAGTAACCCCAGTGGCTCTCTATTATTTTAGGACCAAATAGAAAATTCTCTATTTGGCTTTGAAAGCCCTTCACAACCTGTCTATTCCTAAATTTTCTATCTCTGTATACCTTAATTCTCCTATAGGATGCTGACACTGGCCTTGCTCTTCCTTACACTCCATCGCCCAAATTGATTTCTTTCCCTGGCTGTCCCCTCCCAAGCCTGGCCTCTTCTCCCTCCTTTGTCTCTGCCTCCTGGATTCCTTCAAGACTCGGTTCTAATTCCACCTTCTGCAAGAGACCTTTCCTGGGTCCTTTCCCAAGCCCGTTGTGTCCCCAGAGCATCGTACAGTGTCTGGTACATAGTAGGCACTTAATAAATGCTTATTGAGTGATTGACCGAATATAGGATAGAATGTTAAATGTGAGAGCTGTAAGGGGCTTTAGAACACAGAATGCTAGAACGTAGACTCTTGGAATATAAAATGTGAAATCTAGAAGGAATCTTGGGAATTCTCTAGTTCATTTCCCTCATTTGAGAGATGAGAAAACTGTGGCCATACAGTGATTTGTCACAGGCTAAGAAATGCTAAGATGTGACCCTTATTCTCAACTATCCCTGGCCCATTGGGCTATCCTTCCCCTGGTCCCTGGTCCTTCCCCAAGCTCAGGGCAAAGGGGGAAACTCACGAGGTGATGAGACGGCTCTCAAGGGGTCCGGCAACATCGTACATGGCTAGCCTGTCCCGACACTCAGCCAGGGTCCATTCCAGTCGAAGCTTGATCATGTGGTCCTCAGGACCCTGAAGGTGCCACAGGCAGCTAGAAGCAAGATGATCAGGGCCCTTGAGCCGCACTACCTGGCCTTCACTGATGTAGCTGTATCGGTAGCACCCTGGAGAGGGGAGATAGAGCCCCTGGCCCCTGTTAGCCCTGAGGAAGGAACCTCAGGGAGCCGGGGCCTGCAGGGTCCTTGCCCAGGGAAATGGGGAGGGTGTTGTGGAGAGCAGGGATTAGTTGCAGGTGTGATTAGTTTCTAGGTCAAGCAGGTGCTGGGTTAGTCCTCCCAATTCCTCAACTGCCTTCCAGTTTCTACCTGTGTCTCACCTACCTGCTCAGCTCCTTCTCCATTTAACCTGGCTTATCCTTCCCACTGCCTCCTTTCACTTCTTGCCTGGCTTCTGGTCAATTTGATTCCCTTCTTTTGGTGAATGAAAAGCACTCAATGCGCTCTGATCACCACACGCACATGCACACCACCGTGACTAGGCCACTAGACCACCTGGAGGCCTGACTGTCCCGCCTAGGTCTTCATTTTCCCTTCCTACATTCTCCTCAATGGATGGCTATCTGTCCTCAGGGAGGTTAGCGAACACACATGGAGTGAAGGCAAGGCTTCATGAATTGCCTGTGACTCTTCAGCTAGAAGGTCCTGGATCGTACCTAAGTGTTTATATTTTTAAAACCTTGCTCTAAATTGTACATTAAACAGTTATACCCAGCATAGCAAGGTAGAAAGCATGCTGGGAGGAGATCTGGTTTCAGATCCTGCCTCTGACATTTACTAGCTGAGTAATCATGAGCAAACACTCAACCTCCCAGAATCTCAGTTTCCTTTTCTGTAAAATAGGCATAATAATATTTATACTACCTTCTTCACAGGGTTGTTGTGTATAGCTCTTTGCAAGCCTTAAAGTATCGCAGGAATCATTTCTAACTATCATACTTTGCAGGACAGTAATACATTTTTTGTTTTATTACTCTGTGGTATAGAAATATCTTAGTCTTTGCTCTCTGAAAAATATATATTTTTTAAAAAAATTTAAAAAGGACAGATTTTAACCTACGTCCTCAGTTGCTTGGATCACAGGATTGTAAGGCAGAAACTACCTAACCCACCTTGCAATTATTAGCCCTAGCAAGAATCAACACTAAACTTGCAACCTCCCCATGCAGCCCCCTCCCTGCAATGCTGCACCCCCGTACACACACAAGCGCGCGCACACACACACACACACACACACACACACACTCAGAAAGTAGCAGTAAGATGTCGCAGTCTCACAGAAGCAATGTAGGTCCACACCTCTTCACGTGCACACATTTCTGGAGGAAGGGAGTGGATGTTTACAGTGTTCAAAGAACACACCCATACTCTACCCTGTGTGGAGTCCTTAGTATGAGCTACGCACACATTATTGTGGGTTGAATTGTTTATACAAATGTTGTGTGTGCATGCACATATGTCCCACCCCTACCCCCATACTACCCCCCACCCCCCCCCCCCGGCTCACACCACATACCACAAAGATTGGTTCCTTGCAAACATCAACAATCTGGCTCTCCTCCCAGCCACCAGCTTACAGAGGAACTTTTGGCAATAAAAGTGAGAGGAGGTAAGGGTGGGAAGGAGAAGAAATCAAGGGAAAAAGAAGGAGAAGGAGAAGGACAAAGAGGAGAAGAAGAAGAAAAGAAGGAGGAGGAGGAGGGGGAGAAGAGGAGGAAGAAGAGGAGGAGGAGAACACACTTGGAAATCTAGACACCCAAGGGGCACAGATACACATGTATACACACACCTATATTTCATACAACTCATAAATACATGACCATGCACACATGTGAGCTGTATCTCAAGGTTCATTAGGTTTCTTACACTGGCACTACCCCCAGGCATGTCTCTGCTACACACCCATTGAGTCCTGTGCCCTCCTCTACCTCTTCTTGCTCCTCAGAAACCCATCCAAGCAAAATAAGGAAACTCAAAAAGAAAGGGAAACAAACGAAAAAGCCTACCCAGTGTAGAATTCAGCAAAATTATGTCTTTCACACTGGTCTCTGTTAAAAAGGAACAAATGAAGAAATGAATGGAAGCAAAACTCAAAGAAGATGAAATCAGATGAAACTCCCAGAGCAGCTATACCTGGAGCCCAGTGCGTGCATGCGGGGGCAGGGATCCTATTCCTCCTTCCTCCTTGTGCCTTGCCCTCTGTTCACCCTTCCTCTCTTACCAAATTGCTTCCCTGTTCTAGACTCATAAAGCCACTTTCCTTCAAAAGAATCAGGCTGGCTTGTGATTCAAGCCAAACTTGGCTCTAGAAGGCAAGGACTAGGGGTTAGGTGAAGGACAGGAGAGTTTTCTGCAGCATTGGCAGAACTGAGCTTGGAGTTAGGAAGATTTGGGTTCAAGCTTTGCTTCTGTTACTTAGAGGCTGCTTTGCCCTGGGCAAGTCACTTCACTTCTCAGGACCCTGAGGAACTTCCAAGGCTGTAAGGTAGAGAATAGGTGATGATTACATCAGTGGAGGGATTTTCCTCAGTGGGAATTCCCAACACTGGGGAGAGAGAGGGAGAGAGAGAGAGAGAGAGAGAGAGAGAGAGAGAGAGAGAGAGAGAGAGAGAGAGAGAGAGAGAGAGAGAGATTTGGAGTTGAAAAACTGAGGTTTAAATCTGCTATTTGCTACCCATATGACCTTGAGCAAATCATTCTTCACCTCTCTGTGACTCAGTTTCCTCATTTATAAAAGGAAGAGGTTGGTCTAAACTATAGTATTTACAGTTTGGAGCTCATCATACCTATCTAGACCCACCCAATAGAGACACTCTCTAAGGGTCCCTTGAAACTCAAAGATCTTAAAAGGAAAAAAACTTTCTTAGCAATTAGAGCTGTTAAAAACAACACAAAACGAAACACAGTGAAGTGTGCTCCTTCAGCAAAGAGTTATAAATAGTAGGGAGCTTTAACCAGAGGCTGAATGGTCTCTTCCCAGAGATGGGCAGAAGAGATTCCTGTTCCTATGGGGCTTGGGTGGATGACTTCTGAAGTTCCATCCTGCTCTTGGATTCTATGACTCATTGACCCAATAGTTAGAGGCTCCCAGGAGGCATTTGTGGGATGGGCTGGGCTAACCTATTTTCACTCCCCTCATTTAGTCAATGAGAGCTTAATGCTTTGCTCAAGGATTAACTAGAGTCTTCATGAGGGGAAATGCTGAATTCTACCTAAACTGCATTGTACCCTCCTTGGTGTCTAGTCTGATCCCCTGAAATAGTAGGAGTTTAATAAAATATTTGTTGAATGAATGAATGAACCCATGTCACCTTTCAGTCCAATCCAATACTTACGTGTCTACAGTGTGCAGAGCACTGTGCTAGATGCCTAAAGAGGTACAAGGTAAAGGGAAGACTGGGGAAGTTGCCCTGGCTCCTGTTCCATAAATGTAGCTCCTCCCTCATGCCAATCATCCCAGATATTCTCTTTTCTACCCCATTATTCTTTCATTACCTTTTCTTAGTCAACTTTATTCTGTTACATGGGTGAGAGAAAGACTGCCCCATTCCTTCCCAGGTCCCTCCAGTCTTTGAGCCCATCCTGACCATACTGACCCAGAAGAACAAGGCCCCCAGGGTCCACCTCATACTCTTCCTGGTCAGGGGTGCCTCTTGTCTCGTTGGCATTGGACAACAGCTGCTCCACCAGCACCTCCTTCACAATATCTGGGGTCAGCATCTGATGGCGATTCTCAGGGATTTGGAGAATGAACCAGAAGAAGCAGGTCAGAGGCCCTTCCCTAAGGAAGAGGAAGTCAACATTTTCCTGCCCTCTTCCTCATCCTCATCCTTGAAATTGTCTAGGATGCGAGGAGAAGGACAGTGAGACAATCCCTGGAAAAGGGTATGGAATATAAAAATATTCATAGAATGACAGATCCAGAGCTGGAAGGGACCTCAGAAAAGTGAATATTGACATCACTTTCAAATTCAATACCTCTACAACTTCTTCACTCTATCTCTTTTTTTGTGTCTCAGTTTCTACATCTGTAAAATGGGGGTAGGACTGGATGTTACCTAAGATCCTTTCTAGTCCTAACATCTCATGTTCTAAGGTCCCTTCTGGATTTTACATTCTGTGTTCTAAATTTCCTCCCTGTCATTCTATGTTCTAAAGTCCTTCCAAGCTTTGATATTGTATGTTCTAAGGCTCCTTCTAGCTCTAACATTCCCTGTTCTAAGGGCCCTCCCACCTCTGACATTCCAAAGTTCTTCTAATATATTACATTCTATGTTCTGAGGGCCCTTCCAGCTTTAAAAGTTCTTTGATTTTTGGACTTAAGTTGTACAGAACTATGAAAGCTCCAGGTGCTTAATACACATTTGTTAAATTAACTTGAATTAAATTGAAAAGAATTTTAGAAGTCACCTCCTGCAAACCTAAAATAAAAAAAAAAAGACTGTCCATCATGTGTTTCAGGAATGGTCATTCAGCCTGTGCACACCCAGAGTGAGAAGCTCACTACTGGATGGTCCTGAACAAGGTAGCCTATTCAACCTTGGGACATCTCTAATTGTGGGGAAATTTTCTTTTATGTTGAGACAAAAATCTGCCCCTGGTAATTCCCACCTCTCAGTTTTAGTTCTACTCTCTGGGGCCAAGCAGAACACAGTGGCCCTTCAGATAATTGGAGATCGAAGTTACATAATTCCCCAGGATAAACAGCCTTCCTTCCTTCCATCAATCCTTCCATGCCATGGTTCCCAGTTCCCGAATCATCCTGCTCACTCTTCACGGGACACTATCTAACTTGTCAATTTCTGTCCTAAAATGCGTCATCCACAAATGACCCTGGTCCTCCAGATGTGGTCTGAGCAGGGCAGAGGGCAGTGGGAATATTGCCTCCCTCTCTCCGCACATTTTGCTTCTCTTGAAGCATCATGAGATCACCTTCATTGGGAATTTTGTGATCTAGTCCTAGCTCAGATACTTACTAGCCACTGGACAGTCATTTAAATTTAATTTGATTCAATAAACATTTTTAGGTGGCTATTATATACCAAGCAAATGTGGTACAGTGGAAAGAGGGCTGAATTCAGAGCTAGGAGAGATGGGTTCAAATCTAGGCTCTGCTAGTTAATACCTCTATGACCTTGGGTGAATCAATTAAACTCAGTGGGAGGCTCCATTTTCCTCCTTTGTAAAGTAAGGGAGGCTGGATGCTTTACAGCTATAAACTTGTAGTCCTATGAGAGGTTGACTTAGATGTCCTCCAAGCGCCCTTCTAGCTCTTAATATATGATCCCACAAACTGTGTTGGACACTGGAGTCAAAAGACACAATACCTGTCCTCAAAAACTTTATGTCCTGCTGGGGGAAACATATCCTCAAGTAAGTAAATGGAAAATACATGCAAAGTAAATGCGGAGTAATTTTGGGGGGACTTTAAGTAAGTCACTTAACCCTTCCCATCCTTTTCTTCCTCTGTCCATTAAGGAGTTTGGTTTGGTCAGGAGCTCTTTACTTTTTGTGGGTGATGGATTCCTCTGGCTGTCATTCTGATGAAGTCTATGGAGCCTCCTCAGAATTATGTTTGTAAATGCATGCAAAGGATTTGAAAGGAACCAATTATAGTAAAGTATAGTTATTGAATTCTTATATAAGTTCATGGACCTCAGGTTAAGAAACTCTGGATTCTAGAGGGCATCTGAAACATCAAAAACTGGTTTATTTTTAGAGTCCAATCACTCATTGAGAAGCAGTGTGGAATAATGGAAAAACACTGGATTTAGAGTCAGGGAATTGTGGTTCAAATCCCAGTTCAGCCACTTGCTGCCTCGGTGATCTTGGATTGATCAGTTAATTTCTCTGGGTCCTAGTCTCCTCATTTGTAAAATTAGGACATTGGATTGAATGCCCTCTGAGGGCCTTTCCAGAACAGTTATTGATCCTGCCAGCTATAGGTCCTACTATTGCCTTCAAAACCTTGTTAATTCAGTGGGATGTTCCTTTGAACCAAGGAAGGCATTGAGAGACCCAACGTAGGCTAGCTGGGAGCTTTGTACAAGATGATATTTCAGGTCCCTTCCAGCTTTAATGGCTCTAGACTGTATCCACCTAAGAGGGGGCTGGAGAGGAGGGGGTCCACGACTCACCCAAATGCATACACGGTGCTTGAATTGTAGTATGGGGCTAGGCGGGAAGCAAAGATGAGGTCCTTCAGCTGAGAAGAGAAAGATCGTTTGTCGCTCCCTTCACACCCACACACTCCCACCCAGAACTTTCTCCCATCGCCTGACTGCGGTTCCCTGGCCTCTCCCCAGGTGTGTACTAGTAAATATTTAACAACCAGTTTTAGGGTGGGGGTGGGGGATTGTATGCACGAGACACTTCTAAGTTTAATTTACATTATTAACACTTTCTTAAGCCTAGACAACCAATAAAGCAATAAATGAAGACTCGACTAAGGCTGTTTCTGAGGTGCAAATGCTCACACTGAAAATTTAACAATCTTGGCTGTAGCACACCCCTTGCTGTTCCACTTTGTCCATTCCATGAAACCCTTCCTGATTTATCCCGTTCAGCTCTATGTATCCCATGGGTGGCTCTGACTCCTCAGCACTTATGGACATGCCAAACCCTCTTTTAGCTTCCACTCATTCATATGTACCTTTGCAAGCATCTTTAGACCCTTGTGATTCTAATCTTGCTTCTAGATCAAAGATTATATCTCATCCTATCTGTCTCCTCCTCTCTCACCACTGCCTAGCACCCAGTGGGCACTCATATTGAATCTCTGATTGTCATGAAAAGACTTGGTTCCTTGCCATCCTCTTCCAAGATGCCAGCCCATGCCTTCCCAACCCATTTCTCAGACTCATGTTTTTTTACCTCTCTATCCTGGGCAGTTCACATCACAGACATTAGTTTTCATCCCACCTTCCTGTCCAGACTATATGACAGATCCCTTAGCTCCTGTCCAGCCCACCTCATAGAACCATCTGTTCTCACCCATCCTTTCCCCTCTTTCATCCTTTCCCTACCATCTTCTGGGCTTTGGCAGTTTCGCTGCGGAAGGCACTGGATTCCCGGCGGGAAAGGTCCAAGGAAAAGTGGCGATTGAGCACCCTGAGACTGCCTGAGTACAACTGGCTGACAGTCACCTCTCTCTTGTATCCTGCCAAAACAGAGCTGGATGTTAGCCTGACATTTGGGAGGGAGGGATGGGGAACATGTTGAAAGTGGTCATTAAGTCTCAAACACTCCCAGCGACAGGGAAAGTTCTAACTCTCACAGCAGTCTGCTCCATTGTTGGACAGCTCTTACCTTTCTGATGTCTTCCCTTATCTCAAGACAGAATCTACCTCCTTGTAACTGCCACCAATTAGCTCTACCTCTACCTAGCTTAAGCTCCACCAATCAAGTCTGTTTATCCTTGACCTTCAGGGTCAGCTTTCCCAGTTCTTCTCTTTCAGGTTCTGGCCAACAGATGAATAAAAGATCCCTAATTATAATGACCCTTGTGGCCATTAGAGCTGAAACTAGCCATCACTGCCCACGGGAAAAATTCAAGTCGGGAGGTGACCTGGGAGACACAAAGGATAATCCTATGGAGGGGAGGGCTACTTATCCCAGAGAAAATTGGTGGGGCTTAGGGATGGGGGAAGAAGGTGACCTGGGAAGGGGTACCACCATCATAGAAACCTGTAGGTGCTAGCTGCAGACAGGTGTTAGCTTTACACCGTCCATTCTATCAGAGAGGAAACACACCACCCTAGACACCCTGTGACAAACCTCCGTTTGCCATGTGTTGGTTATAGCTCTCATCCCTACCCCCAGTGTCTTAGCCTTTAGTTACCTAGGAAATACCAGAGCAGGACTCCACCTGCTGCTAACATCAGCAGAGCAAGCCACAGAGGGGCCAGGCGCATGTAATCCCGCCTTCTTCTCTTGGGGTCATCAGTGGCTTTCTCCTTCCCAACTGGGTTCTGGCCTCTTTGGTTGTACCCTGGCTCCTCCATGTCCACTCCATATGACTGCCCTTGGACTGCCTGTCCATTGCCCCTCTGTCGTTCATCCTCCATCCTGGACTTCTGGAAAAAAGAGAAGAAGGAGCATTAGGGGGAGACAGACTAACTGGCCCCAATTGGTCACATGTGCCAATGATAGAAAGAAGTCAGAGGACCTGGGTTCAAATCCTGACTTTGACGCTACCTGTGTGTCTGTGGGCAAGTCTTTTCTGCGACTCAGTTTCTTCATCTGTAAGGTGATAACAATATCACAAGTACCTATTTCACAAATTGTGAGGATCCAAGAATTTCTGATTCTTAATCTAACATTGTTTCCATAGTAGGCCATCACCCATGTGTTCCACTTCAGTGCTCAAGAACTCTGAAATTCCTGTATCTGATCACAATCTGTTGTCATTCTGCCCTTTCTTCTGTCTTGCAATCCTGAACCCTGTCCTTCAGTCATACCTTAATCTCCAGGCCTCTCAGCTCTTTCCCAGGCCATCACCTCTGCACTGGCCATACTCGCCTCCTTTCCCCATCTTGACCCCTTAAGTGAATCAGCTGAAGTCTAGGTTGTCCTCATCTTTCTGAGTCTGGGTCCTCTTCCCCTATAACCAGACTTATACTGCCAAGTCTCAGCCTCGGATCATTCCCGCCATCCTGGTCATGCACTGCTGAACGAAACTGGTGAAAATCATGAATTTGTGCTAACTGGGTCCATTGCAAATTTGTGTTACATAACCTCAACTGGGCCCTCACCTTAGCAAAGCAATACTTTCACATCTCCCTAATCAATGCATTCTCCCATTACCATAGAAGCTCTTCCAACATTTTTTGTCCTTCCTCAGTCCCCCAGGCAACTCTGATACTATAAGTGACCTTTGAGCTCTGCCTGATCATAAGAGACATCTTCTCCCTTGGCCCTCAAAAATAGCTATCCTTCAAAGCTTACAAAGCACTAAAATCATCTCCACAGCAGCCCTGTGAGGTAGATGCTATGGGCCTCTTAATCCCACTTTCAAAAATGAGGAAACTGAAACTCTAGTGGGCTGAGGGTCCTATGACTGTCCAGCAGGCCAATGTCAGAGCAGGTGGTGGGATTTGAACTCGGGTCTTACCTGAACCTAGATCTAGAGCTCTGTCCACCACACCATACTGTCTCTTGAGTCTAACCCTCCTTGTCTTTTTCTCTGTTGTTCCCTACCTGTAATTCTTGCCTCCCCACCTAGACTATGAGCTTCTTGAGGACAGGGCACCTGCCTTTTCCTCAGAGTTCCCCATCAATTCAATGAACATTCACTAAGCACCCACTATGTGCTGGGCACTTTGCCAGGTGCTGGAAATACAAGGACAAAACTGAAATCATTGCTGTCCTCAAAGCTTTTACATTCTACTGGGGTGGGAGAAGCGGGAGGACACTGTTATACACAGAAAATTAAAAACAAAATACATATAAAGAAACTTGGGTGGAGAGCTACAGTCTCCTGGATAGCTTGCTAACCTTGAAGATGGGAAGACCTGAGTTCTAGTCTTGTTTCTGACCCATGTATGACTCTTTCTCAGGCCTGGACAACTCTCTGGCTCTAAGTTGCCAAGAAGGCGCCGTCTGCCTCAGGAGAGGGCATTTCCACACCAGGATGAAATCCATGATGATGAAATCCCCAGGGCAGACGATGATTTCTGGAGGAGGGCACTAGAAACTTGGAAGGGGGTGGAATCAGCGAAGTTTTCCCATAGGAGGTTGTGCATGATCTGAGCTCTGAAGGGAAGCAAGAGGTTCTAAAAGGCAGAGGGAGCCCATGGCGTGGAGGTGGGAGATCTCCAGAAAACAGCAAGACAGCTGGTTGAGGGGTGGTGGGAGCCTGGCTGGATCTGCTCCCTGCAGGCCTCAGATCTGGGAAAGGGACTTGGTTTTTGGTCAAGAAATTGATGATTTATGGGGAAAAAAACCCTTGATGTCTGGTGGAAAGGAAAGAGTACTAAGCTAAAAGCCAGGAATGCCAACTCCCTGAAGTTCTGCCTAGGCCCCCAGTGCTGTTTTTCTACTTCTGAGGCTCAGTTTTCTCATCTGCAAGAAGAGGGTTAACTCTGCGTTATCTGTTTATAGAGTGATTGGGGAGGAAACACACACACGCACATACATAATATGCACGTGCATATATATAACATATTCTATATTATGCACGTATATACATATATATATACACACACATATATAAAAACATGTACATACACTTACAGACACACATATTATTTTGTTAGAAAATTCAGGCAAACTGAAAGACAGTGGTCCAGGCATGATTGACTCATTAGTTAAGCTATCATGAATTGGGCCAGTGGTTTCTCTCAACAACCAAAGATCCTGACGTAGGGCTCGCCAGCTCCAATACAGTTTTGGGGAGCACAGAGTTGGGTAAGTGGGGAAGACAGCATATTTGGTTGCGGAGTGGACAGCATCTTGGGGTGGGGTAGGGACAACATGATTGTTTTTTTTAAAGAAAGTGGCTAAAACCTAGGTTGGCCTAGTAACCACCCCTTTCTGACAATTAAGAAGTGTTCATTGTTTTATGGGACCCATCCGCATCTTGCAGACCTTGTTAGAGATATCTGAGTTAGCAGACATCCTGGTGCCTAGAAGGGTTTGTTAGGAAGATAAAACCCTCCTTAATTGTACAAGGACAGGCAAAGATAGACACTATATCTCGTGAAAATATACCAGGTCAACTTGGAGGCCTTCAAAGATAAGGTACGGGAGATAATAGTTTTTGTTTTATCTTTAAACTAATTGCAGAGGGAAAATGGGACAGCAATACAGAATAGGGTCAATTAGAAAATAATACAGAATCCATTTAATTTCTTCAATATGATACATAGGATATTACATATGTATACATACACGTGTGTATGTATACAACACATACAATACACTTATACATGTATAATACACCTATACCTACATACACATTCACAATATACATACACACACTTGTACATAAACAAACACATAAATATATACACATATACAATACATAATACACACAGACACAACACAATGCACATATACATACATGCACACACATGCACACACATGTATACAGCACACACCACACACAATACACAGGCATACACACATATACACACATACAAACTTGCACATAAACACACATAAATATATACACACACATAATTATCATATACACATGGACATATGCATACATGTACACATACATGCATGGCACACACATGCACATAACACACGATACACGTGCACACACTATACATACACACAGGCATACCCACATATATACACAAACTTGTACATAAACACATATAAATATATATACAACATATACACACATACATAACACTCATATACACACATGGGCATATACATACATGTACACATACATGTACATGTATGCACACAAAACACGGTATACACGCACACAATACACACGCACATACACATCCATAGAGACTGGCTTGTGATCTCATTGGCACAGGGAACGTCCAAGTGGGGAAAGTCTCCTCCTGTGGCAGACTGGCACTTTCTTTGCAATTTATGGCCTTAGTTGCCTGGTACATTGAGAGGTTCAGTAAACTGCGCAGGATCACACAGCCCATATACATCAGGGATAGGACTTTCACCCAATTCTTCCTGGCTCCCTATTCAGGTCAGGCACGGAAATGTCATATCTACATACATGCATGTGCACACACGTGTGTCATGTGTGTGCTCTGATGATTGCCTTTTAAAGGCTCTGAACCCCCTCACTGGCAAAGAGTGCAATAGAGTAGAAAAAGGGCTAGATTTGGCATCTGAGGACCTGGGTTTGAATCCTGTCTCTATCACTTACTATCTTCATGGCTCTTAGGTCATTCAACCTCCCCGAGCCTCAGGTTCTTGTCTCTAAAATGAAGGGCTTGGAGGGAGACAGTGCTAGGTCCCGTCCCACCCCCATGGGCACTTGGGTGAGGGCTGCCATGCCCAGGAGATTCAGGCCAGTCAGTGAGACTAGGCCAGTGGGAGTAGTTAAGCCTGGACAGACCACTGCTTCCCCTAGCCGGCGAGGGTGGGAATGGGCAGCAGGATGCAAACAGGCCTCTGATGAAATGAATGAGGGATTGGGGAGCCAATGGTGGGGTGGGCTGTGCCAGCTATGGGAGAGGTGACCTCTGGGGAGCATGTGTCAAATGGTTGTGACACAACTATCCCCCACCCCCTAATCCAGGGCTCACAGGCCTAATGAGCGTGACTGTAAGTTAAGGGGATGGCTGTCTGTCCCTAGCTCGCTTTGTCATCCTGGGAAAGTCATAGCATCCAAGCCCCAGGCATAGAAGCGGCCTCAAGGAACATCTAGTCCAGCCGTTCTCTTACATATGGGGAAACTGAGGCCTGGGAAAGTCCAATGATTTCACCATGGTTGCGCAGGTAGCAAGCAAACCTCTATCTGAAGCCGGAGCCTCTGATGCTGAACTTTGTACCCATTTCTCTCTCTAGGTCTTGCTTTCCTCACCTGACAATTGAGGGGTCTGGGTTAGACCAGGACTTCTTCCTGAGCTATGCGAGTAGACTTCAGGGGGTCTGGGACCTTGGATGGGGAAAACCACCTCGGTCTTTATTTCAATATAACTTGTTTCCTTTGTAAAACTGTGCATTGTATTTTATGCCTTTGTACAGATTGTTCTGAGAAGGGCTTCAGGGGTTTGGCTAAACTGACCGCCCAAGGGGTCACGGACACACCAGCGCAGTTAAGAAGTCCTGGCCCCAGTGCCTCTGCCCTCCTCAGGACCCCTGAGGACACCCATTCACTGAAGTCCCTTCTCTCTTCTCCCTTCCCCAGCGCCCCCCAGCCTCTTCTCAGACTTTTTGCCTCCCTCTTGTCTGTGGTCACTTCCCGAGTAGCAGGCCCCTGGGGGGGCCTCTCCTCCAGGAACAAAGAGGAGGACGCAGATCTGGGTTCCCAGCAGACGCCAGATCATGAAAGGACACTGCCTCCCACCCCCCAGAAGAAGACACTGCAAGGACAGAGCTCCCAGCTTCCCCTCTGCCCCCCACTGACTCTGAGAAGGAAGGGAAAGGTTCCCAGAGAATCTGACTTACCTTTGTAAGCCACAGGTAGGGCAGGGCTGGAATGCAGGCCACAGGAGGCCCTGTTTGTCCAGGCTCAAGGTCTCTCTCCCTGCCACCCCCCTCCTGGGCCCCAGATCAATGACCGGGCACTACGGCCTCTTGCTCCGGCCCTTGTCCCCGCTGGCCCAAGGCCCCTGGCTCCATGACGCCCAGCACCTCCAGCTCTCTTTGCCAGTCTGGGGCACCTGGAGAATATCATGCTTCTCCAAGCGGGGGGGGGGACCCCAGTGGGTTGGGCTCAGCTTACTGATGCTGTAAACAGCCGGGGAAGGAAGCCAGCCCCCGCCCCTGCCCTCCATGGGCACCCCGGGGAAGGCAGGTACGGGAGACCGAAGTTCTCCCCCAGGGAAGCCTCTGTTGCCTGGTAACGTCTTTGAGTTCTTGGTCACATCTGCTGTTCCCTGGTCCCGTTAGGAGTTCGAGGAGGGGCTAAAGGTACAGAGTGTGTGGATGGATGGGCAAAGTGGGTGAGGAGGTGGGGTGTGCCACACACGTGTGTGCGTCCCAGCTGGATCGGCTTAGGAGAATGCTCTCTCCCCTGGCCCCTCCCCCCAGTAGCTGGGGTCTAAGGGACGCAGCCCAAAGGAGAAACGTGAGAAAGTCTGTCCCAAGATACAGAGAAGGCAGCGACAGGAGGGTCAATTCTGGCAACGGCGTTATTCCTCTGGGCACCGTAGCTAGACGTAATTTTCCTAACCCAAGGTCTGTGAATCCAAGCCACAGCTGACAAGTTGGCTTTAGCTGTTGCTCTGTGTGCATGTGTGTGCGCGTGTGTACATGTGTACATGTGTGTGTTTGTATGCTGGGCTATGTGTATCCGTGTGCATGCTGAAATATCCTCAGATCCATGTATGAGGAGGTCTTGTCCGTGGGGGGCTAGGAGAGACAAGGAGGTGCAGTACAAATAACTTTGGGCTTGGAGTTCAGAGGGACCTGAGCGGCACATTTCTGTGTCTGACTGCAGGTACTGCCCCCTCTCTCTGGTCTCAGCTTCCTCATCTGTAAAATGGGTTTACCAGGGCACTCAGAGCTGACTTCACAGTATTATTATAGGAAGAATGCTCAGTAACCCTCACAATTCTACAGAAATGGGAGTTCTTTAGGCAACACATTCAATCTTTGTGATCTCATTTGAGAGGGAGGTACGATGATTATCCCCATTTTACAGCTAAGGAAACTGAGGCTCAGAGAGAAGTGATTTACCCAGGGTGACACACGTACCAAGTGGGACTTGAATCCACGTCTTCTGAGTGTAAGGCAGAAACCTTTCCACTACCCCATGGGGCTCTAAGAGAGGAAGAAGAGAAGGGGGGAGGTGGGGCAGACTAGGTTGAGGAGGAGGAATGGCAGGGACGCTCAGGGTTACCCAGATTTAGGCTCTTCTCTGTCTAATCTCAGCTCCCTGACCCCAAACTGTCTCCAAGTCCCCACTGGTGGCCACACGGGCCTTACTGGTCACAGATTCGAGTCTAAAATCTTTAGCTTTTTCTAAGTCCTGGCTCAGGCAAGTTAGATCCTATCTTAGCATTATTGCCTAAGAGAGAACCTTGGACCCTCCATTTGCCTTAGAGGAGATGTGTAGAAGTCCTGTGCTCCCAGACTCATAGATCCAGAGCTCAGAGGGACCTCAGAGGCCTTGAAGACTTTTATATAAATGAGGAAACTGAGAGACATTAGAGGCCATTAAGTCCAACTGCCCTCCCATTTGACAGATGAAGACATTAAGGCCCGGGGAGATTAGAGGACTTATCTAAGATGACAAAGGTTGTAAGTGTCAGAGACTGGGATCGAACCCAGGTAACTCAACTTCAGGTGCTCTACTCTTTGCATTGTGTCGTGCCTCCCTTCTCACACCTGTAGAGACAACCCTCCCCTCCCCACTCAGGGACGACTGTTAGTCCCTCCCTCCACCTATTCCCAAAGGGACACCCCCTCGCCCTCGGGACAACCCCTACCTGATAGTGGAAAGGAAGTGGGTGGTGGGCGAAGCTAAGAAAAGATGTCTGTGTTTGCCCTGAGAGTGCTCAGCGGAGAGCGGGGGTGGCAAGCAGAACTAGAGAGTCCAGCTGAGGGCTGCGAGCAGAAGCCCCAGGAATGACAGACCCCTCTTCCCTTGCTCTCCCTCAAAGCTCCCCAGACCCATTCTGAGGCTTGTGCCTTTATGGAGATAGTAGAGAGGTCAGGCTGGTGTTTTCACAGAAAGTCACAAAGAGCCAGCCTGGCTTACAAAATCACTCCCCCTCTGCAAACAAGCCAGGGAGCTCTGGGGCTGGGTTCTCAGCCAAGAGCCCAGGTGACCACATAAACCTCAACCTTTTCCTAAGGGTTCCGGGAGAGGCAGTGAGCCATTGACCCTTTCCTTTCCTTATTAAAGGACAGCCAAAGGCCAGGAAGCCAGGGCTTAAAGGAACTGATTTTAATTCCTTGTGTGTCCTGGACCCCTCAGGCAGTCAGTCTGGGAGAGCCTATGGACCCCTTCTTGGAATCATGCTGTTAAATGTATAACATAAAATGCGTAGGATTACAAAGCCAACAAATTTAATTAAATTAGAATTATCAAAATACATTTAAAAAACCAGATTTGTCTACCCCAGGGGAAGGCTCCTTGTTTTTAGGAAACTGAAAATGTTGCCAAATTTGCAATCAAACCAAAATGCCAAGGGATCCTTGGATCCAGAGCTGGTGGGACCTCAGTTTCTCCATCTGCAAAGTAAAGAGGTTGTCCTGGAAGGTACCTAAGGTCCCTCAGATCCCTAAATTGATGACCTTATACAAAAGAGGAAACTGAGGCCTATGAAAGAGAGGAGGCTTGCTCAGATATTGGATGCTCGGGGAGGGGATTTGAGCCCAGACCTCCCACCTTCCAGTATAGCCTCATATTGCCCTGCCTTCTTTCTAAAAGTTCTGCAGAATAAACATAAATGTGCCTGACACATTGATTGTATAAGGTTCCCCCAACATAGGCACGAGGAAGTCTCCCCCCCACCAATTCCAACAAACCTGTTTCTAGCTCCTCGGGTTGAAGACAAAACTCTAGGGATGGACTGAGGAGCGGTGAAAATGTCAGCGGCTCCCAGAGGTGTCCACTGCTCTGTTAGAAGAGGTGTCTGGGAAGGCCAGAGAGAAATCAGCTCTGGCCCAGACCTGGGGGAGATACAAGCATTAGTCCTGGCTCTGACACTGCTGTGCCCTCCGAGCTCAGGAAAACCATCTCCTCATTCTGGTTTCCTTCTTAGTCCAGTGACAGGTTTGGATTACATCATTTCCACTGTCAGTTCAGCTCTAAATCTGAGGATCCCCAGGCCTGACATCCCCTGTTCTCAGGCCCCTCCCAGCTCTGACCTTCCCGATTCTAAGCTCCCTGCCAGCTCTGACCTTCCCTGTTCTAAGCTCCCTTCCAGCTCTGACATTCTACGATCCTAGAATATTATTTGCTAAAGAGAAGAACATAATACAAGGCAGGCTCACCTTTTACCCCAATCAAGGAGAATTCCAATGAAAAGCCCTAAAAATGGTTTGTTTTGTTTTCTTCAACAAACACTTTAAGAGTGTCTGCTTTATACAGCCCCCACCCCATTTGAGATACTGAGGAAAGGAATGGAAATATCAGTCAAAGTTCTTACTCTTAGGAGTTAATATTTAAAGCACTGAATAAATGGTTCTTTCTCCCTCCCCTCCCTCTCCTCTTCTTTCCCTCTCTCCTTCCTTTCCTTCTTCCCTCCCTTCCTTCCTTCCTTCCTTCCTTCCTTCCTTCCTTCCTTCCTCCCTCCCTCCCTCCCTCCCTTCCTCCCTCCCTCCTTTCCTTCCTTCCTTCCCTCCCTTCCTTCCTCCCTTCCTTCCTTCCTTCCTTCCTTCCTTCCTTCCTTCCTTCCTTCCTTCCTTCCTTCCTTCCCCTTTCTTCCTCCCTCCCTTCCTTCCTCCCTTTCTTCCTCCCTCCCTCCCTTCCTCCCTCCCTCCTTTCCTTCCTTCCTTCCCTCCTTCCCTCCCTCCCTCCTTCCTTCCTTCCTTGCTTCCTTCCTTCCTTCCTTCCTTCCTTCCTTCCTTCCTTCCTTCCTCCCTCCCTCCCTTCCTTCCTTCCTCCCTTCCTCCCTCCCTTCCTCCCTCCCTTCCTTCCTTCCTCCTTCCTTCCTTCCTCCCTTCCTTCCTCCCTTCCTTCCTTCCTTCCTTCCTTCCTTCCTTCCTTCCTTCCTCCCTTCCTCCCTCCCTCCCTCCTCTCTCCCTTCCTTCCTTCCCTCCCTTCCTCCCTCCCTCTCTCCTTCCTTCCTTCCTTCCTCCCTTCCTCCCTCCTCCTTCCCTCCCTTCCTTCCTTCCTTCCTTCCTCCCCCCTCCTCCCTCCCTTCCTTCCTTCCTTCCTTCCTTCCTTCCTTCCTTCCTTCCTCCCTTCCTTCCTCCCTCCTCCTTCCTCCCTCCCTCCCTCCCTTCCTTCCTTTTCCTTCCTTCCTTCCTTCCTTCCTTCCTTCCTTCCTTCCTTCCTTCCTCCTCCTTCCTTCCTTCCTTCCTTCCTTCCTTCCTTCCTTCCTTCCTTCCTTCCTTCCTTCCTTCCTTCCTTCCATGATCAGAACCCCTACTACCAAGGAAGTATCTCAGAGGCAGCAGGGTATGGAGAACATGGCATTGGACAAGAAATCAGGTGCCCGGGATTGGAGTCCCAATATTATCTCCAGCCTTGAAGCCTGGGTGAGGATTGCCCCTCTCAGAGTAAAGAGTGTTCTCACATTTAAAGTGGACATGATGACTCTTTCGTGGGACCTTTCCGAGGCTCAGATAAGATAATTTGTATAGTTTACTTTATATCCATCAAGTCCAATGTGCTATTTTTACAGGTGAAAATACTGGGGCCTGTGGTCACATGGACTTTGAGGGGCGAGTCTCAAGTAAAGCAGGAGACCCCATGGGCCCGTTCCTAGACTGGCAACAGTAAGTCATCATCATCATTGTCATCATTGTTCCTTCTCTTCTTCCTCTTCTTCCTCCTCCTCCTCCTCCTCCTTCTCTTCTTCCTCCTCCTTCTTCTTCTATTTTATTTTCATTTTTTTTAATGGTTTCAGATAGAAATGGTCCAAGGACACCATCCTACCATTATCTTTACATAGCCAATGTTCTCGGTACTGTTTTGTCTTTACAGCATGGTTTTGCATGATTGCTGTTATGACTATACTTATTACGAATTTCATAGGCTCAAGACCTGAGGCACCATCTAGTTTGATAACTTCTTCTGAAGATGAAGAAACTAAGGCCTGGAGAGGTCAGCTTCACACACCCAGCAAGAAAAGAGGCAGAGCTCAAACTGAGGTTTAGTCCTTTCCAATACTATCCTCGTCCCAAGGGATCAAGGAGGTGACAGGAACCATGTATCCAAATAATCATAATGCAAAAGAGTTATGTGATAAAGAAGTTATAACCTCAACAAAATAAATGGGCTGGACTAGATGACTTCTGAGGATCCTTCCAGCTCTAAATATTAGGATGCTGTGAATGTGCATGAGACAGGTCCCTCATGCTGTGGGAGTGCCCAGGAAGGAGAAGTCATGTCTAGGTGAAAGGAGGAGTAGACCCTGGAAAGCTTCAAGGAGGAGGTGACTTGTGCTTTGGGCTTTGAAGGATAGAGAGGAGGATCATGGACTGACATGGGAAGGAGGGCATTCTGGGTGGAGAAGAAGGAAGAGCCACACACCGTGTTAAGAACATACACATGTATGTATCAGAGGGTAGCGAGTGGTTAGGTGTGTATGGAGTATTGGGTGGTTAATGAAAATAAAAGGGAGATGAGAGAAGAAAGGTCTGAGAGGTCTGACAGAGCAGACATGTCTGAGTAGTGCAATCAGAGGGGCAATTGAGTTTAGGACTGGGAAGTCAAATATGGATGCTAGAAACCCAAGAAAGGCATCACCCTCTCTCCCACACTGTGGCAGCTGGTAAAAAGAGGAAGAATTCCAACTTGTTGGTTGGTGGCTAGGCTGAAGTGGCTGAAAGTCTTACAAGGAAGGAAGGGTCACTACATGGCTCTGGGGGAGGGGGCTGGTCTTCTCTCGCTAGGCAGCTTTCCCTGTGTTGGGTGTGTACTCTCGCAAACGTCTTCTGGGCCATCCATGTTTGAAGTTGTCTGAGGTCATGAGCACAGAGAACACAGAAATGTCCTTTAAGTGATGTTGACTCTGCAATGGTAACATCACCCGTAACAAACCTTCTGATGCCTACTCTGTTCTCTGAACTATACATAGGTTAGATATCCTGCAATGCTGGCAGCACGAGTTTTGTGGGACCCTAAAGTAGGGCCCTTTGAATACCAGGCTAAGCAAACAATGGAGAGCTAAATAAAGACTCTGTTATCAGTGGGGCAGACCTATGTTTACTCGTGGGATCATAGGGCATTTAAGATTGGAAGGGGCCTTGGGACTGGTTGCTAAGTATTTATTAAGCACTTATCGTATACAGAGCACTGAGTAAGATGAGCAGTTTAGATAAGCTGATGTTCTTGTCTTCATGAAGTATCTTAGGAGGGTGACCCCTTTGCCTATTACTAGAATGCTTAATATTTACCTGTTAAGGACACCAGAGAGGGACCAATGAAAGTACTCCAGGAAGATAGGGAGGGAAGAAATAAACATTTATTTAGCACCTACTATGTGCCAGGCACTGTGCTAAATAAGCATTTTACAGATATTATCTCATTTAATCCAGGAGGTCTACAGAGGAAGATGTAAAGGCAAAGAAGGCAAATGAAGACGCTGAGGCCCAAAGGGGTTGTTTCTCGACCAAAGTCATGCAGATGGTAAATAGTAGTACCCAGAATCTGAACTCAGGTCTTCTGACTTCAAATCTAGTGCTTTAACCAATGTAAACACTGCCTCAAGTAATGAGATCTTTCATCATCAACATCATCATCTTCCATCTCTCTCTAACCTTTGCTTTTTCAACAATATAATATAGGATTATAAGACTTAGCAGTGGCAGGCACCCCCAAGAACATCTGCTCAAACCCCTCACATTGTAGATGAGGAAACTGAGGCCCATGGATGTTAAGTGACTTGCCCAAAGTCTCATAAGTAATGTGATGGGTAGGTCAATCCCATTGATAGCAACAGAGCCCCTGGGCCCATTCTCAAACTGGCAGCAGACAGTACAAGTGATGTTATTAGTAGAGGAAGTATGAAGGTCATGGGGATGAGGTAGACAAGTTGCCCCATCTCTACGGTAAGCAGATTAGCTGACATGTTTTAGACTCAGGGGACCTCTTAGAGCCCTTTCAAAGATATGTCACAGACTCTCAGTGGGAGACAGCTCATCCCTTGTCTAAAAGTCAGTTATGGTACCTGGAAAATGAGATATGTGCTCAGCAATCGCTGACAAACTACCACTAGATATTTCTCTGAAAATATGTGTGGGATGTTTGACATCACCTCTGTGGTAAAGGACTGTCTCAGTGAAACTATCAGAGAAACAACCAGCCAGGCAAATTAGAAAGACAGAACATCAGAGCTGAGAGGAGCAGAGATCTACAGCTGGAAGGGACTTCAGGAGACACTAGTTAGTTAACTCCATCATTTTACAGAAAAGAAACAGGCGCCCAGAGGGAGGGACAGATTTGCCTAGTATCACACAGCTAGGGTTAGGGGCAGGATTTGAACCCAGGGCTTCTTGGCACCATGACCAGCAATCTATTGACTATGGCTATCTGGTCTTACCATTCTCATTATCCAGCAAAAGAAATGAAGGCTCAGAAAATTAGAGCGATTTGCCTAAGATGACACAGAAATTAAGCAGCAGAGCCAGGTCTCCAGCCTCTGGTACCATGTTACCTTTCATTTGTGGCTTGCACTGGGGAAAACACTTATGATGGCAGATTCAGGAGACAACTTGGGATTCTGGAATGCCTGAGTTGCCTTAAAGGGAGTCATGAATGTGTTGGCCTTTATGTACACCTTCTTTCTCTATCTCAAACTAAGTCCCATCCCAATTTTCAGATGATTAAAAATTGTTTTTGTTTAACTTGTAATTTCTTCTGAAGTTTTGGTAAGAGTAGTCTAAGAGATGTGAACAATGATCAGAGGAACAATTCTTAATTACTAGTCATAGCTTTTTCTCTAAGCTTTCAGAGAATGACCCTGACTGTATTACCTGGAGAAAAATTTATATATAAATATTATATATTTATTATATTGTTACAATATATTATATATATACATATATATGTGTGTATATATATATATATATATATATATATATATATATATATATATATATATATATATATACACACACACACACACACACACATACACATTTATACATGTCTCCTGTGACACTCTAGAATGGAAGTTATGTTATTATTTTTCTGACTCTATTGCTCACTTGCCCCTCCTTCCTTAGAGGGTGACCTCCCTCCAGCCAGACATCACCTCGATGCCCTTCTTAGTCATTTTGGGCCTTCTTTTTTTTTTTTTAGTTGGGTTAAGCTTTCTATTTAATGTTACAAAAATATTGAGTCAAAGAGACCAAAGCCCATGTCATCATCGGACTCCTCGAATTCTTCTTCTTTTGCTTCCTCTTTCTTCTTCTCTTCAGCTGGGGCAGCACCACCAGCTGCTGGGGCAGGTCCACCAGCCCCTATATTGCAGATGAGACTTGCAATGTTGACATTGGACAGGGCCTTTGCAAATAATCCAGGCCAGAATGGTTCAACATTTACACCTGCTGCTTTAATGAGGGCATTGATTTTATCCTCTGTGACTGTAACCTCATCATTGTGAAGGATGCGGGCAGAGTAGATGCAAGCGAGTTTGAAGATGGTTATTTCAGCAGAAGGATGAGGAGAGACTTCTTTGTAGTGGTGCTAGTCCCCAACGAAGTGAGGGTTCACCTCAACATGGCCTTAGCTTCCGAAGAAGAACCAAGCACTTCACAGACAACTGAAGGGCCCTTTTGGACCTTCTTGTGGTCTTCCTCTTGCTTTCTACCCTTACCTCTCCCTAACTATTCCAGCCCATCCCTTCCTACCTACTCCTCAAATGAACATAGAGTTCCGTATTTTGAGCTGGAAGGGACTTGAGAAGTCATTTTGCCCAATACCCCCATTTTCCAGAAGATGAAAAAAAAGCTCATGGTGGGGAAAGAACCTGCTTGCAAATATTAGAGTAAGGATTTCAATGTAGATCTTTTGACTCCAATTTCAGTATTCATTCATTCACCAAACATTTATTGAACAACTAATGTATCATGATTCCTACATAAAGGAGTTTAACAAGATTACTTCTAAGATTAAAATTCATATCAAAGGACTTGAGTTCAAATTCTGGCTTTACCACTTATTAGCTGGGAGAATTTGAGCTGATCCCTTTCCCTGTCTGGATCTGAGTCTCCTCTTCTTTAAGATGAGTGGGTCAGACTCAATGACCTCTAAGGTACATTCCAGCTGTAAATCCATTTTTTCAACCACCAAGTGTTTTCTTAAGTGCCTACTATGTGTCAGGTACTGTGCCAAGCAACATGGGCACATATACTATTAGTGAAATGCTTATTAAAGTTTCATTTATTCAACTGCATAGCCAGCTATGTTTTAGTATTTTAGAATCACTGGTCTGGACCACCCCCCACCTCCCCAAAATGTTGACATCCATCTGCTTGAAGGAGGAGCCCTGCTGTGGTCATTACCACCCACTCTGGCATGAACCTTTTTGCCGCTTTCTCCAGCAGTGGTCTGGGGCTGAAGGGCTGAGAAAGATGTTTGGGGGTTTTTGAAAAGCACTTTCTCACTTTGTTTGTGACAATGGAAACTTTGAGTCAGGTGTAATCATGGACAGAAGGCCTGGCTTTAACCACACAAAGAAACAGACACAAACTGACATGCCACAGGTTTCCATCCAGACAGCCTCTTGCTCATAGAACATAAAGGACCTCAGACACCATCAATTACACTCCTTCAGATGAGGGAGATGGAGCCAGAGAAGAGAAGGGATCTATGACCATAACCAAGGTCACCTGGATCCTTAGCTACAAAGTCAAAGCTAGACTTTATGTCACATGGCTCCTCACCCAGTGCTCTTTAAAATGAGACAATCCTGGTAAAAACTCCTTTTAAAAAGATTGCCTTGTGAAGTAGTGAGTTCCCGAAACTGAGAGTGTTTGAGCAGGGTTTAGATGACCAACTATCCATGATGCTATGAGGGAGATTCCTTCATTAGGAGAGAGTTTAGCTAGATGTCCCCGTTGGTCCCTTCTCAAAGTGGCTATTTATCAAAAACTTACATCTATGTAGAAATCCACAAATCTGAATTAGGAAACATTTATATTCCATATAATTTAGATAGAATCTTAGAATCATGGAATCATAGAATTATGGAACCTCAGACCTATAGAACTATTAGAATCTCAGACCGTGATTAGTTACTAAGGAAACAACATAGACAGCATTTGGGAGTGGATAAAAGAGGGGAGTGGAGTAGACTGAACACTGTCTAGCCAGAAAGAAGAAACAGGTGGTGAGTTGCTCACACAGGTCATAAAATTGAGATGAAGGCAGTATATAATGCTGATGAGGGACTTCTAGTTTCTAAGCTATTGGCCAGGGATAAAGGGTGTCTATTTCCATTCTCCCCCCTCATAAAAGAACCTAGTGCATGCAGGGTACTCTTCAGGTGTTGGGGGAGGATGATAGATAGTTTAGAGAAGACATAATTCTGCCTTAGTGGAGCTTACAAAATTAGAAGAAAGATAGACATAATAGAAAATGCTATAACAAGCATTTTTGAGAGTTACAAAACAAAATAGAGGAAATGACAAAGAGAACTATAGTTCTGCTGTTGACCATTTATGTACTGGGAAATAGCTCTTATTTTTATATACTTTTATCAATCCTTATTTTTTTCTAGATCACTCCTATTATCAGATAAATTGATTCATGAACAGTAAATTATACGTACGTAAAGGACTATGATGATGACGCCATTGTTTCACAAATGCAGTCATTGGCTCAATCTTTCGACAAATTCATGTCTAACTAACAATGTAACAGGATGTAAAAGACTTCAAATCTGTATCTCGGGCTTTGAAAATCTTATTCTTTTCCCAGATACGGGCTGAGAGCCAACTCCTTAAAAATTAAAGGGTGGGGAGGTGGGCTTTCCCCTCAGTCCCATGACTTTCACTTTTTATCATTTTCTACAATTTCCCTGATCAAATAACCCTAACCTAAAGAGGCCAACCTTCCTGATCTTCCTGGCCCCCAGAAACAATTTGGTCTCCAGGTTTAGCAGTCCACCACACCCAAAATCCAATTATCTTCTCCATTCTTCCTCCATTACTGTAACTGGATACCTTAATCTGACATCTTCTTGCTCTTTCCCTTTCATCCCTCTATATGTACACACTCTACAACAGGAATACATTTCTATGGGGTTTTTTTTCACAAGCAAATACGGAGAGAATCTACAAATTCCAATATAATATACCAAAGTTAGCAATTCACTGGAAGCTGAGTGGGTGCCTCTCTCTGGTCCATGAATGTAATGTCATATTATTGTGCTGTAACAGACGATGACAACCAGAGAAACTGAGGAAGATTCGTATGTGCTGTAGCAGAATCATAAATATACACACATATATAGATGCATACACATATACATATACATACATATGTATCTGATGACTATAACAATGGAAGTAGAAAGGGCACGAAAGAGCACCTGAACTCTTATGATCAAAGGGTCCAATCTTCAACCTAGAGAACAACAGATTAAACACAATTCTGTTCTTTTGGCAGAGAAGAGGTGGGGACCATAGGAGCCAAGTGCTCATACTCTGTCAGACACATTCTGTTTTGTTTGTAGGCTTTTTATGTTGTTGTTTAACTGTTTTTCTTTGTGATAAGAGAAGGTTCAAAGGAAGGGGTATATCAGGAAATGACTGTGGTGTATCAACACAAGGCATCAGTGAAGCTTTAAAAAGAATAATATCATCCCACATTGGGGTCATAAGAAATGCTAGTGAGAGAAAACTACCCAGTCCCAGATATGATTGGTGCCCACACTTTAAAAAAAAATATGAACTTAAAAAAATAAAACATGAATATTTCAATATTTAAAGACAAACATTTAAGAGGATTGCATATGAACTAAGTCTAAATTATCTAAGCTATTATGGTTCTCTTTGGTTATCTATATCTAGTTTGTCCCAAGTTTGACTCTCTCTAATCTGGAATACTGAGTTTCTTTAAGATATCATACCTGCCCTTCTCCCTCCCTCCAAATATTGTGTCCTTTTCCTCAAAATATCCCTGAGCTGTTGAGATCAACACACTGGGGATCTCTGGTCTGAGATCATTGGTTAATTCTGTCTTCTCTCGCTCACTTTCAGCCAATCAGGAAGCCTTCTGATGACTGAAAGCCTTTATGCAAACACTCACAGACCTGTATTTATAATGGTGTTAATGCAACATGTCATTTTCAGCCACTCAAAGGGAAGAGGGGATGAAAAAAATAGAAGCTCACATTTAGAGTTTTTACCATCATTTCCAAAATAGAGTAGACTTCTGACCATCAGGGTAGCCAAAAAAGAATGTATTGGCACACAGAGTTTAGTTTGTGGGTAGATTGAATGATATTTTGTCTACTGAATGCTTTTTCCCACCTTCCCTCCACATTCCTGCATCACAGATAGAGGAAGATGCTACCTTGCCAACACTCTGTGTGTTTCTTGCTTATGAGCCCTCAGAAGAATGGAAAGAACAATGGTGCATAAAGGTGATAAAAAGGCAAATGATAGAGCTCAAAATGATGAAATGATTCAGTTCTAATTCATCCATCAACATGAATTTATTAAGAACTTGCTGTATGCCAGGAGCTCTGCTAGTGGCTAGGAATAGAAATACAAAAGTGAAACAGTCCTTGCCTTCAAGGAGCTTACATTCTAATGGGGCAGACAGCATGTGCATTTATAAGTCAGTACAAGATACAAATAAAGTAGATAAGAGGAAAGATAACCTTACATAGAAAGAAACTAGCAGCTGAGGGGCTCAGGGATAGACTTCTTACAGGTAGTAGAAATGGAGCTGATTCTTTTTTTTATTTTTATTTTTATTTTTTTGAGCTGATTCTTGAAAGTATATCACATACATTATCAGATTTGGTCCTTATACTAATCCTGTGAGTCAGGGAGTACAAATCCTATTATCTCAATTTAATAGCTGAAGCCCAGAGTTGGGGAGTGACTCTTGCCTTGAGTGGGAGACCTTTACCCCACAACCCAATCCCTGGGATGTACCATCTTCCCTCCATGTCCCTACTAAGTAAAAACCAGCTCTCTCTTTAAAGATCTTCTCTGCCACAAGTCTTTCCTATCTCCTGCAGCTGAAAGCACTTTGTTAGCTCTCTCTCTCTCTCCCAGGACCACCTTGTATCAAAAGCATTTGCATACATGTTCATAAGATGACAGGGTTATAGAATTTAGAGTGGGAGGGGCTCTTAGATGTCAGATCTGTGTGGGGCTGTACTGATCATGGAGAGGAACACAGGCTCATAGACTTCGAGCTAAGAGGCCGTCTAGTCCAATCTTCTCATTTTACAGATGAGGAAACTGAGGCCCAGGGAGATAAAGAGACTTTCCCACAGTCAGAGGATCACAGGATTTTGAGCAGGGATTGATTGAATTTCAACTTCTTCATTTTACACCTGAATAAACTGAGGCACAGAATTGGGAAAGTGACTTACCCAAGATCACCTAGAAAGTCAGTAGAATAGCTAATACCTGCAACAAGCTCTTCCATCTACAAGTCCAGCTCCCTTTTCACAAAACATCACGATGTTGTGGAAGGGCAGCATCTCTTAAGTCAGTGCTAAGGTCAATGGGCAACCCTGTCCTTCCTCCAGTTGCTTGTCCATCTCTGGTCCCTTTCAGTTAGAATGATTTTCGGCCTTCTCTGCCTCCCTGTTCCCTCTCTTCTCATTCATCTCTACTCTCCCCACATCACCCAACCCAGTCTTCTTCATCCTGTTTTCCTGTAATAGAAGTCCTGGTATCTCTGAACATCATTTCTATCACCCCAGGCTTCCTGCCTGTGGCTTCACACTCAGCTCACCACC